TCACATCCTTGAAGCACGCCCGCCGCTTTCGAGGTTGTCGCGAAACAGTCCACCAGCTGATCCGTGCAGGGCCTGGGGGTCCTCGCTGTTGCAGCCATCGGTGGCTTTGCCGCCGCCTGCGGAAGCGGCCCTAACCTCTGCTTCACTCGACAGTTGCCCGCCCCACGGCAAAGCCACCCCCTCTGTATATTTGCGGGGGGTCCTCCCTCGCAAAGGTCATGATCGATAGACGCCCTGATGGTGTGTTGATGTATCTGCACTAGAGCACAGGTTTCGTGGGCCTGTTGCACGCCTTTGCTGCTGGAGGTGGCTGTGCACGCCGAGTTTTCGATGATTGCCTCCTGCAGACAAGTTATGGCTTGGGTTGCAGCTTCGCCACAGGGCGTTTCGCTGGCAGTGCGCAAGCTCATGGCAGTGTGCCGGCGGGTGAAATACGCCACGTGTACGGTGTGCCCCATACAATAAGGCCAATGGATTCAGAGCCTGAGACCGTGCGTCTGGCGACGTTTGAAGCCACCCACACCTGAGACGACGCCGCTGCACATCATCAGTAAACACACCAACCCCCCTGACGTGGCCCGAAAGACTGCATAACAATAGCGTAAGCGCCATCTGCATGGGTGCTGCGACACAGGTGCGCAGATGATCCTGTGCGTCACACTTACAAGGCAGCCCTGCATTTTTGGGACCTGCGGGCCTTGCATGCATGCACGCCAAACGCGCCTCACCGCTGATGAGTGGTGACCCCTCGGCGCGGGGCCACCGCGACAAACATGGATCGCGGTGATGCAACCAGTGAAATATTTTTTGCGAGATAAGCGTGTCTTGATGCGCTAGCCCACATAGCTCCTCACCAGCATCGTAAAATTGTTCGCAACACTCGCACCGAGCCTGGACGGAGGTCTTGGTCCCGGCTGCCCGTCGTCCTCATGGGGGCGTGCGCGTCTAGCGAGGCCCCAGTCGCTGATATCCCACCAGCAAAGCCACACCAGCCACGGCCGCATGAGCAAACGGGCGGTCACCCCGTGCAGCAGGAGCCGGCGCGCGTCGACGCCACGCCGGCAAAGGCGGGTGTGGACGCTGGGCCGCCTGAAGCCGCTGAATTACTGAACGGGCTGGCTGGTGGTGACCCGCAGCCTCTGGGCAGCGGCGCCGTGGACAACGCGATCGCCGTTCTCAAGGTGCGAGTGACTCACGTGATCATTCCACCGCGCACTCATGCACTCCCGACCGGGGTGCATGCACGCCCGTGCTCGCACAGGACCCTACTTGCGGCCCTTGCACTCCATGCGACCCGCGTGCACGACACCCAGCGTACGCGGCACCAGCCCGCCAACGCGCCCGTCCGCACTGCTGTTGCCGCGCACCGCCGCTCCAGGCGATGGACCCCCTGGCGTGCCTGAGTGACCTGCTGGCCGACATGAACACCCTCAGCCCCACGCCAGCCCTGGCGCTGCCAGAGGTGGCAGACCTGATCAGGAGCCGGCTGGAGGGCATAGAGCTCTGCAGGTGCGGCGGGCGCACGTGCGCGCGTCCGTGTGCAGGCACGCATGCGTGGCTTGCAGCATGAAGAGCGTGCTGCAGGGCTGGGCCGCACCAGCAGCGGGGATCCCGGCCAAAACATCTTAGCAGCGCCTTGTATCCTTACGCTCCTGCACAGTTCGTAACCATTCGTCACACACAAATACGCCCACGCACGCGTACGCAGCATTACTGCAATCGTCGGGCCCCAAGCCGGCGGCCAGGGCGGCGACGACGACGACATCAGGCCGCCGCAGGCCGCGGGCGTGCTCATGGCTGTGGCCGGGGGCGGCTCCAAGGTGCTGGAGGGGCTCACCGTGGTGCGCGGCCCCCAGTGGAGCGCGCTGCACGTCGCCGTCACCAACGCGCCGCTGCACGTGCACTCGGCCGAGGCGGGCGAGCTGCCTGACGGCTCGCCGCTGCCCGAGGACTGGGCGCGCCTGTGCAGCGCGGCGGGGCTGGCCAGCTTCTTGGCTGTGCCGATGGCCCTGGGGCCGCAGGTGCTGGGGGTGCTCACGGTGGCGGCGGCCCAGCCTGACGCGTTTGCAGATCCCGGGTGGCAGCGGCTGATGGCGGCCACGGCCAGCGCGTGCGTCCAGCACATGCGGAGCCCGCAGGTGGGGGGCGGGGCGCGGCGGTGCCGCCCGTGGCAGCCTCAGAGGCCGGAGACCTAGCAATCGGGCCCATCTAGATGCATGCCGGCGGTCAAGGCTGATGCTGGGGTTTTGGAACAAAAGCGCGGGTGTCTCTCCCGGCGTCTTGATCAGCATATGGCTTTGACCTTGTGTGCGTGCGGCGCTGCCCTGCCTTCCCGTGCTCACGGCCCGGATTGTTGGGCCCACACCTCTCCTCGCCACCTGCCCCCCCCCCCCTCTCCCCCCCCAAAAAAGCTGTGCTACCTGGCGAGCATGCTTGCCTGTGCTGAGGGGGAGGAGGACGACTTGGGGTGCATGGAGGTTCTCATCTACGTGAGCCAGGGGCGCCCCGCAGCCTGCGTCATCGCCGCGCCGCATTCCTTGCCGTGGTGGTCGTCGGCAACCTGCTGCTGCTGTGCAGCTGATCTCGAGGGCCGCATGCTCGTGCGCGCCTGCCTACACATCGCCCCCACCCCCTCCCTGCCACTCCGCCACGCCACTCGCTCGCCCGCCTGCCCAGGGCCTGTCCATGTACATGCGGCGCTGCACCAACCTCAAAGTCAGCGTGAGGGTGGGCCTGGTGGACAGGGGGCGCAAGGCGGTGTTGGTGTTGGAGGGAGACCCCAAGGCGCCAAAGGGTGAGAGTCCCCGAGGGGCGGCAGCCACCGGCGGGCAGGCACCCACACCCGCGTGTTGCGGCGTTGCGGCCGACCTGGTGGCTGGCGGCGGCGCGTGCGGCCCGCGGGAAAAGAAGGGCGGTTTCACGCAGGGCCACACAGCTTCGAATGTGGGCAGCTAATGTGTCGAGCCGCCTGGAACGCCGCGCCGCCCCCTCGCGCCACGCCCGCCCCGCAGTCAAGGTGCCCCCTCCCACCTCCATGGACGACAACTCGTTCCGCCCGCCGCCGCGGGTGGCGCGCGCGCTGGTCGCAACCGACGTGCCCCTGGCTGGCACGCTGCTGGAGTCCGCTGTCACCGCGCACAAGGCGCGCTGCATCAAGGACTGCGCCGCCTACTTCCAGTCCGCGGTGGACCCCGTGGGGGACATCTTCACGGCGGGGAGCTCCCTGGTTTCGTCCATGGCCGTGGTGCCCTTCAGCCACAATGAGTCCGACCTGGGCGGCATCACAGGGTGGGGGGCCATCTACTTCACCCTGCCGGAGCCGTGCGACTTTGCGCTGCTGCAGGAGGACGTGCTGGGCGCGGTCAGCGCAACCACGCTCACGCTGCACGCGCGCCTGCGCGACCGCGCGGCGGCGCTCGGGCCGTGCGTGGCGGAGGTGACGGACCAGAGGCGCCGCAGCAGCTCTATCGCGGAGGGCGCGCCCGGCGCGGAGGCGGAGGCGGCGTCCGTGCCCGGGTCTGCGGGGCTCAGCAAGGGCGCCCCCTTCTCGGCCAATAACAAGAAGCTGTGCACAGAGGCCATGAAGAGGGTGCGCCGCGGCGCTGGGGAGCGTCATCTTGATTTGTATATGGGATGGTCAGGGCTTGCAGGCACGTGCTCGTGCCTAAGCGCTCGCCTCCGGTCTCAATGAAACGGCACGCTGGCGCCACAGAGTCCCTGCGCAAGCTGGGGCGCCACCTGGCTTCACTCCTCCGCCCCTCACCCGTCATGCAGGCGATCCAGCACAAGCTGCAGACGACGCACAAGGGCGGCCGGCGGTCGACAGGCAGCAGCGTGGCGGCCCCCACCAACCAGGACCTCGTGCTGCACGACCGCATCGGCCAGGGCGGCTTCGGCATCTGCTACAAGGGTCAGCCTCTCTGTTTCTGTGGGGTTGGTTGTGGTCGATTGAGGATCGTGTCTGCATTGGTCGAGGAGTAGGCATTGCCTGTGCAGCCAGCCGTGCCTCGTGCCGCGCTTGTGCTTGTTGGCACCACCGCGGCCAGCGCCAAGCTCAGGCGCGGCCTGCCGTGCGGCTAGCGCGCGCCGGGGCCATGGCGGTTGCGTGCGCTTCTGACCGTCCCCGTCCTGCGCCTCGGCCTGCACCCCCTCTGCTGTCTCAGGCATGTACAAGAACTCTGTGGCGGCCATCAAGGTGTGGGGGCATGAGTGACCGTCTCGACGCGCAGCATCACGCCGCCTCCCGGCACAGCAGGACGCGGCCGGGTTTGCTGAGGACCCACAGAGATCCCCGCGGCGACGGGCTGGGCCCAGGCACGACGGCGCTCCGCTTCACATGCTGTTTGTTGCGCTGCGCTGCCCTGTCCCCCACCCCCTGGCAGGTCATGTATGCGCGCAAGCATGAGAAGGAGGCCTTGAAGGTGCGCGGCGCGGGCTGGGGGCCTGAGGAGGCGCGGACCAGATGTTGCTGGCCTGCGACTCGCTGCCGGACGGCTGCAGGGTGCAAATCCCCGGCAGTGGGGATAGAGGGCAGGTTCCTGAGTAGTCAAGGCTGCGCCGCACCCAGGCCGCGGCTTATTCACAACCCCCGGCCCCCCCTCATACTGGTGGTGGCCCGCAGGATGCCGTGGAGATGGCGGTGCTGTCAGAGGTCAACCACCCCCACATCGTGCAGGTGCGTGCGCGTGGGGCAGTCGGCAAGGCGCTGATTGGAAGCTTGGTTTGATTTCGGCTTTGCACATCAAGTCCTTTGCCTCCTCCTGCCGCGTCGTTTGTGCACACGCAGGGGTGCGGCTGTGCACCCGCTCAATCGCTCCTTTAGGCCACGCTGACCCCGCCGCATCGGCTCATTCCCCCCTGTGCCCCTCGCAGCTCTACGCTTGCCTGACGGATATGATTGAGGTCGCGGCAGACAAGCTGGGTGAGCGTGAGCTTGCACTGCTTAAAGTTTGAGTGCAATGCGTGAGCAACCTCTGACGGCGAAAAAGGCAGGTGGTGGGCATGCTGCTTCAACCTGACGTAGCCACAGCGTGGTGCGCTTTGCGTTCTCAACGCTCTGGTTACTGCAAAGCCCCCACCTGCTGCTTTTGGCCTTGCCGCCCCGTTTTTCCCACCTTTGCATAGACGTTGGCGTGGCTCAACTGGGCGGCACCGCCCAGATGCTGCCGCACTACCGCCCTGCACGCCCCGACGACGCCGTCACCTGCAACATCGTGATCATGGAGGTGACCGCCCCGGACTCCCTACATCATGCCCAAAGTCGCTCCCTCCAAAATGGTCACGCCAGCGACAGCAGCAGTGTTGCCTGCCCGCTGGCCGCAGCGCCCATGCGTGACCTCTCGCTCACTCGCGGATGGCTCGTGCTATCTCCAGCACGCGCAGGCTTCCCTGGGACTGACCCGCCCGCTGCTCTCGGCCGCCTGCCCCGCCCTGTGGTGCGCAGTTCTGCGACCGCGGCTCCCTGCGCGACGCGCTGAAGCGGGGCGCGTTCCACAGGCGTCTGGAGGGCGGCGTGATGGCGGTGGACGTGCTCAAGGTGGTGCGCGTGCTGCTGCAGGTCAGCAGCAGCCTGGAGTACCTGCACGACCGCAAGATCCTGCACTGCGACATCAAGGTGCGCCCCGGGCAGCGCAGCTGAGGGCAGGGCTGGGGGACGAGGCGTGAGCGAGCAGGCGGGGACGGGCGGCGCTGCTGGTTTGGGAGAGGGCTAGGTCCCCATGCAGAGGTAGACGATCGGGCACACAGACAGTCGACGTCGAGTAATGTGCCCCACAGATGTGAGCTATGATGCAATGGCACCCGTCACTCGTACTCAACAGATGGAAAATGTGATGCTGAAGAGCGACCCCTCGCGCGAAATGGGCTTTGTCGCCAAGGTATGCGTGTTTGCTCGTGTGTGTGTGTGTGTGTGTGTGTGTGTGTGTGTGTGTGTGTGTGTGTGTGTGTGCGCGCGCGCGTCCGCGTGCGTGTGTGCGTATGGGTTGGATGACTGGCATGTTTGTGGCGGTGGATACATTCAATATCTGCTCACAAGCTTATGCGCACATCATTTTCACAAGCTCGCGCTCACTCGTCTGCACGGGCACTCGCCCGCACGCGCACAGAAAACCCAACGCTCTGCCTGTGCCCCTCTCACTCACCCACCCCACCACTTCCGCCCCCCATCACAGCTGGGGGACTTTGGACTGGCGAAGATGCTGAACGACAACTACTTTGTGGTGCGCACGCCTTTTCCGTGTGGTCAATTGGCGCCCTTGGCGCCCCTTGCACCACACCACACCCAGACCTTCCACCGCCTTTGCTTATGTCCAACTTATTTAGACTCGTTTAACTCATCCAACTTGATCTGCCTGCCGACCACCATTGCGGCCCCCAACAGACCAACCGCAGTGGTGCTGGCACAATCACCCACCTGGCGCCAGAGCTGCTCAAGGCCGGGGCAAAGGTGCGGTGAACGGATGGACAAGCCGCTTGGATGGGCCCGGGCGTGCACCAGGGCGGGGCCTGAGTTTATTCAGCCTGAATTTGCAGCGCGCGCTTTCACTCGACGACTCTGCGCCTGCAATGACGCATGCTGTGGCGGGGCTCGCCCCCACCCTCACCCCACTGTTGGCAGCTGACCGAGGCCATAGACACCTACGCCTTTGGCATTCTCATGTACACGGTGGGAAGGGAGCGCTTTATCACTGCACAGGGCTGGGCCGAGTCGAGTTGTCGCGGCCCGCACGGCCTGCAGGCAAATTACGCTTGGCAGCCGTCAATAACTTGCGCACAGCCTACGCCTTGGGTCGCTGCAGTGCGATGTGGGTTGGGCAGCTTTGCGTTGCGCCGAGCGTGTCATGTGCCGTGCCCTGTGCTGAAGCCTTGCCGTGCACGCACCCCCCAAGCGGTGCTGCCGTCATCACTCTCCTCCACGCTCCCACAACCCCCTCCCTTTGCAACCCCCCGTCGCGCGCAGATGTACGCCGCGCAGCGGCCCTACGCCAGCCTGACCCAGGAGCAGATCGTCGACCGCGTCATCCGCAAGGGCATGCGCCCCACGTTCCCCTCAGCCGCGCCGGCCGCGTTTGTCAACCTCGCGTCGCGCTGCTGGGACGCCGACCCTAAGATGCGGCCCAGCTTTGTGGAAATCAGCGCGACGCTCAAGGAGATCATCAACGGGGAGGATGGTGGCGGCAGTTGACCGCTGCGGGTTGACCGCGACAGGGCCCTTTGAGGGGGCGCCCGCACCGCGGCAGGGGAGACATGCAGTCGCTCACTTGAGTTGGGGGTGCATAGTGTGACCTTTCCATGTCAACACCCTCTAACAGGCTGAAGTGCCAGTCAAAGGGTTTTGGAAGGAGTGATGATGGTGCTGCTCATGGATATTTGGTCCCTCACACAACCTTGCTTGAGAGGGTTTTTTCAAAGGGGGGGAGGCCATTTAGAACTTCTTCATACCCTGCTTCCTGTTGCATCACCTGGTGGCAGCACGACGTGCAGGAAGATGCAACCGCCAGCATTGGCTGCTCTTCTGCCGGCATGCACCACGCCTTTCTTGGTAGCGCAACCATGACTTCCTCCGTGTCCCCGCATTTTAGTGCCGGCGGATCACATGGGCTTTGCCTGCCACTGCAGCCAATGCGCACCTGGTGACGCCATCAATGCCGATTGGTGCCACCAAGTACGACTGCGCTGCGGGGGGCCTTGGCTGTTTTACTGGTCTGTTGCACCACACCTAATAAAGCGCAGCATTTGAAATGGTAGGGTGGCTGCGCGTGCCACCACAGATCTAGTGGCACCGGCTCATGTGGGCGCAGAACACGACGCCCGGCACTCGGCTCTGTCTACCAGTGAAGGCAGCCGGTGGGGGCGATCGAAGCAACGTTGGCGTCTTTCTCTGCATTGATCTTCACACTGGTTTCTGCCAGGCCCCAAATTTGAAGTGCAAATGCCTCGGAAGTCGCGTGTGGTAGCTGCCCCCACCCTGGGGGACGGTTGGGATGATGTTGATTTTGGTCCACACAAATTGCGCCAAATACTGTTGGCTACTGTTGTAATGACTGGTCTGGGTGCAGTTTTGCATAATTCCTGCACAAGGCTGGTGCACGATCCATAATGACACAGGGACTGATGGAGCTCACATGAGCTTGGCGACTGCATGCGTGAGGCCATCACAGGACCCACGCAGTACTAGCAGAGTGTTTTGCTCAGTCTCATATGAGAGTTGCTGATTACCGCAGGGCACGATGCATGGAGCAATCATAAACATTTTTGGGGTGTGGCCTAGGCTGGCAGATGTTTGCTCAGTGCTGCTTGATATTTGGCACAGCACAGGTTCAGGAACGGTGGCGGCAGCAGCAGCAGCAGCAGCGTGCTAAGCTTGTTTTCACGCCCACCCTCCTCCTTTGCACCCTGTGCAATGGCGCTGGGCCAGACAAGCCTCGCTCAACTCAGTGCCCAGGGGTGGCATGCCACCCAAAATTTGGCGCAGATGAAGTCTAGCATCAACCCCAGGGCACTGACTGGACCTGATGTCCTGTTGCGTGCTTGGCATGCTGCCAAAACCACGGCTTAATACTCAAGCACAGCCGGTCATCTGCACACCAAAACCAAGCCTCCTGATGGGCCGGCTGCTGGTGACCTGCGTTGGCAACTAACCTCCGTTGGCGCACCGCAGCTCTCCCTTACCTGTATAAAAAGCGCGGCCTTATGCCACACCAGTGCTGCGCCAACTCACACGCAACAAGAGAGTCTCATTATTGCGGCTTCTCGCTTTGCAACGCCCCGGGACGACCAACACGTGTGCGGCGGCAGCGTCTGCTGCGCGGTTGGACAGGCGGCCTCGGCCGCACATGGCGGCGGGGGTCGCTCAACCCTCTACGAGCGCGACATGCAGCAGGCATACGCACACCGGGATGGCAGAAGTTTGCCATGCAACCAACTGCGGCAGTGGACTGTCGACTCTAGCCTTTGCCAGGGTCGGTGGGGCAGCACATGGAGCCGTCACCCAAGACAACTGGGTGATTGCATGAGTCAAGGCCAGCGACCGAATGCTGCGGTCCCGAAAACCGCTCTCATTATAATCTAAAACATAAATTTCAAGTGTCGAGCTATCAAACGGGGCTCCCCTGACCTCCATTGTGCCCCACGACACGATTTTGTGCACGCAGCCTTCCCCGCCAGTGGGAGCAACAGTGCGAGTTTGCTTTGCCGCGGGATAGAGCACGTTACGAGTCGTGCGTTTTGTATAGTTTTGACGATCGTACACATTTTCGCACGCCCAAAATGCTGGAGGGTTCCCACGCAACAATCGACCGACAACCCCCAAGACCGTAGCGGAGCTCTCGAGCATATGCAGGCTCAGACGCGGGAGGTGGGTGGTGCATTGTAATTCAGACACCTGTTGACCCAAGTGCGGCACCCGTGGGCCGGGCGCGGACAGGGCGCGCGGAAGCTGCGGCGGCGACGTCGCGCCCCGCCCAGGCACACCAAAGCACTTTAGCAGGGGGCGCACCATCGCATGCGTATCCTGCAGGCGTGTGACTGGATAGGAACAACCCCAGTTTCCTCTCTCACTCGTTTACTGGCGCAGGAAGGCGTGGGGCGCAAGCCACGCGGGCTGCGTGCCAGCAGCCGTTTGGACTCTGTGCAGCGGCGTCGCGGAAGTGGCAACAGCAGCGCCGGCGGCACCGGTCAGGGCCCTGACGCCCTAGACTCCCAGTTCTGGTCCAATGACGAGTGCCGGATGGCCTACCTGAAGGCACGCCGCGCTGTCGCCGCACGGCCTGCGCCGCACGCACCCTTCTTGCTGTACCGCCCAACATCTGGTGCCCTGCACTAGGGGTGATTCAGACCTCATCAAGCACGGCAGGCATGCAGGCAGGCTGCACATAAGTACAAGCGCAGATTCACCTTGATGGTCCCGCTCTTGCTCTCTGCCAATTCTCCACGCCTCAGGTGCTCCCCTGCTACAGCCGCACAGCCCATGACTGGTGAGGGCTGCAAGCTGCTACGGCTGTGTGTTGGGGGGGTGGGAGGGGAGGGGACCAATTGCAAGCCCTGCTGCATGTGCGCTCTGCCCTGCGCAGCCGCCGCTCCAGTGCCGCCACTGCCACGGCATCCACGGGGCGAGAGGGCTTTCCCGTTCACGCTCCCGCACCCCCTCTTGTGGCCTTTTCACTGCGCGCCCCGGCATGCAGGCGCGAGTGCCCGTTCTTCCACCCAGGGGAGCGCGGGCGGCGGCGCTCCTTTGACGCACACGTGTACCGCGCTGAGATGTGCTCGGCAGTGCGCCAGGGCGGCCAGTGCCCCCGGGGCGATGCCTGCACCTACGTGAGTGGACCCCTTGCCACCCTGGCAACCGCTGACGCAGCGCGCGAGCGGCTGCTGCACGCCTTGTGCGCAACGCCGTGCAGTTGGAAGCGAAGCAACTGCCCCCACACCCCGACCCCCATGCATGCATGGTTTTCTCCCAGGCCCACAACGTGTTTGAGGCGTGGCTGCACCCGGACCTCTACAAAACCAAGATGTGCGCGGAGGCAGACTCGTGCCAGCGCAAGGCAAGTGGGGGCCGCAAGCCTCAATGAGGCCTAGCAGTAGTGCGAGACCTGCAGCCCCGCAGTTGGGGTCCCAAAGAAAGCGGAATAGTAGCGCTGGTCGGGGCTCCAAAGCAGACAGTCAATTCTACCAGCCTGCAGGCAAGACTGCGCAAGTGTGCTTGCGCACACCTATCACCCCTGCATCTGACACACCGTATTCAACTCAGATGTGCCGTCCCGCCCCCTTTGCCCCGTTGCTCTGCCCCCTTAGATATGCTTTTTCGCCCACTCGGCCGCTGACCTGCGCGAACCCATCAGCGGCAGCGCCACCGCAGCCGCAACAGCAGCAGCAGCAGCAGCAGCAGCAGCAGCGACAGCAGCTCAGCCCTCCAGCCACAGCTGCCCGCTCCCTTCCGTTACGTCAACAGGCGCCCTGGCCAACGACTGCTGTCTCAGCTTGAGCAGCGCCGCCAGCGTCAGCAGTGAGCCAGCGGCGCTGGCCGCGTGCTGCTCTGACGCTGGCACTGCTCAGCCGCCGCATCAATTGCCACTACTGCCGGAAGATGAGGAGTATCGGCACCTGCAGCAGCAGCTGCTGATGCTGCAGCAGCGGGCGCTGCAGCTGCAGCTGCAAGTGCAGCAGCACGAGCAGGAGCAGCACATGTGCCAGCAGCAGCAGCGGCAGCAGCAGCAGCAGCAGCAGCAGCAGCAGCAGCAGCAGCAGCAGCTGCAGCAACAGCAGCCACTGCTGGTACACTATGAGTGCCAGCAGTACAGGCAGCAGTTCGAGCAGCAGCAGCGGTGCCAGTATTATCATCAGCCGCTGCTGATGCAGCAGCAGCACAGCGGGTCGCCCGACCTGTCCCTGCCCGTGCGGATGGTGCTGCGCCACGATGGTCCAGACCCCCAGGACAGTGCGCCGGGCTTTGTTGTGGTTAGCCCTAATGGAGAGCCACTCATCATGATGCCCCTCTCTGAGCCGCTGCCCCGGGTATGGCAGCCCCCGCCGGCGTCGCCGCCGGAGGCGGCGTTGAGCGGGCGCCTGGTTGCCGCGGGCGCAGTCTGCACCGGTGCGCCGCCATTCGCCAACATCGCGCAGCTGGCGGGCTGCACGTATGTGAGCGCCCAACAATATGCGGGCAACATACCGCATGGCTCCTCAGCACTCGAGCCGGCTTTGGTGAGGGGGGTGCAGGCGCCAGGCGGTGACCATGCGCTAATGGCGCTGCTGGGCGAGAGCTCTGCCTCCGCCCCGGCAACTTGGCCGGCTAGCGCAACCGCATCACATTCGGCTCGCATCACCTTGCCCGTGCACGTTCCACCAGCGGTCTGCTCCGGAGGTGGCGCCCCGGTGGTGGCAGTGCTGCCGTGCAGCGGGCCGCTGACCACGCCGGCGCTGCTCCCCGGCCACAGCCACGCTGCACCGCCTCTCAAGACTCCGCACGGCCTCCAGGGCGCCCCCGTTGGCGGGGCAGCTGACAATGGGCCGTCCCCTATGTTTTTCTTCGCGTCCCTCCCAGAGGGCGCCACCTTGGCTCTGCCCGAGCCTGCGCCACTCATGCCGCTGCAGGCCTCGCCCGCCCCCATGGTCGTGATGTCAACCCGCACCGCCGTCCCCGGGCCGTGCGCCCAAGGTTGGGACTTTGGGCCCCCACTGCTTTGACGCGTGATTGCAAGCGAGGGCCTTGGGCACTCTGGCCACCCTCCCACCACGCATCTGCTGGGCTGCTGTCGCAAGGCCGGTTTCGTTTTGCTGCACGGGCAACACCTGCGCTGAATATTCAAAGCGCAAGGCTGCCGGCGCTGGCAGGCTCCCCTGTATGCGAGTGCTGCCGCTGCTCCCTGCCGCGATATCCTTTCCGCACACTGCGCCATTTTCGGTCGTGCTGATTACGCTTGCTGTCGGCATGCTGGACAAACGTCCGTTTCCCATTACGTGGGGGCTTGCAGCCATTGAAATCTCAGCAAGCCACCATTGTCGGCCTCAGGAGCAGCGCTCCAAATCACCCTAAAACTTCCTCCTCAACAAAATTCACTAGCTCTCATGCCCCCGGCATGGAGGTGGCTCCGACGAGACACTTTTGCCGGAACAGTAAGGTGGGCATCCCCCACATTTTTGGTGGGGAGCTGGTCACCGCTGTCAGCCCATGCACACCGTCACTGCACTTCTTGGCCCGGGCATGAGACCTGGTTAAGCTGCAGCGCACTTTGCAGCGGACCTGTGGCCGATTGGTTTGGATTTGAGGCTGTCTTGGCTGCGCCTCTGCTCACGTGGGCATGGGCTGAGCCTGCCGCTGCAGCAGTGCCCGCAGCTGGGGCAGCCACAGCGGGGACAGCTGCGTTTGGAGGCGGCACGGCGGCCAGCAGCACGGCTTGGATCGAACAGCCGAATTCGAGGCTTGCTGTGGGGGTCGTTCTTGGCCCACGATCAGCCGCGCTGGCGGTTTTCCTGCTTGTTTGCGCGTAATGACTGCTGAATCGCTCCACAGTGTCAGAGGGCCTGCACGCCGGCGCACTGTGCGTGCAGGCCGGCATCCGCAAAACTTCCTGAGCGCCCGTGTGCGCCATTACCGGCACCGCTGGCAGCGATGCCGCTGGCGCATGCATAGCGCCTTTCACCAAACCATCCATTTGTCCAGCATAATCCGTCTGCCGCACGACTCCGCCGTGCCGTTCCCCGCTGCGCTCTACGCCCACATGTCATGCTGATTCACACTGGGACTCCACGCCGAGGGACAGCTGGTGTGGCCAAATCCTGGCCTTGATGCCGCAGTGACAGCAGATTACGCTGATCCGCTGCCTGTGAACAACTGCACAGATTTTCAATTGTTCGAAGCCGCCACCCCGCCCCCTGACGAGTCAACATGCCGCTCGCCCACACAGCACGTTTGCGCGGGTATCGCTGCTCCTCAGCAAACTCCACTGTGCCTTCACTGCTCTGCATGCATACCAAGCTGAGTCACGGGAGTCACAGCGCGCCCTGCTGCGGGCAACTTGCCAGGCACGCAAGCCACCCCATTGAGTGGCCTTTGGGTCTTGCACTTCAGCCCGCAGCGCGGCCCTTGGCCACCCTTGACGGATGCTGATTGCTGACCCCATTTGAACAACCGGGACCGCGTTGACCGCGTCGACGCGGCCCTGCAAGCCCCAAGAACCCGCGCAATTGTGTGTTTAGCCCGGGCCTTGAAGCCTTGACGGCCTGTTGTCCATCGGACCAGCGTGTTGCGCACTAGGCACGAGCACCTGCTGGCCGCCTGTGCTGTGTTGTGGTTGTCCCTGGTCATCGTGGGGTCGGCGCATCACATACCTGTCACAGGAAGTAATGAAAAATTTGGTGCTTACAACTCTCCTGTGTCTGCCCCAGTCCTGCCAGAACTGTGTTGGTCTCCGTCGCACCCTCCTTGGAAGCAACGACGCGTAGGTTTGCACCGGGGTTTGGTAGGGCTGGGGGCCATCGATGGTGAGCGGCACCTTTTTGGGGTGGGAGGCTGGCCTGCAGTGCTGTACACGCCATCGCCGCTTTTTCGGAGCCAAAGGGTCCTCAAGGGTTCGTGCTTCTCCTCCAGGTTGCACCATTGCTGTGTGGAACAGAGACTGCGGCTGCACCTGATTCTCTGTGCGCCAGCATTTGAATTTTACCTCCATGACTGCTAGAGGCATCACACCCAGGTCTGCTGTCTGAACGGGGACTTGTTGCAGCAAGCCAGCTGGTTATCAGGCCCCTGCACAGTGTCAACGGTTCCTTTTGCATGACCCCGAGCCGCGCTCCTTCACGGTGGGTGGCTGTGACCTTCACGGTGCCTGGGTAACCAGGGTTGTCGGGTGCGCTGGGCAGTGTTTAGGTGTGCTGCAGGGCCGCCAAGGCAAACAGCGGAGAGACGTGCCCAAATAGAGGTGCCCCCTTGCCAAATTGAGGCGAGCGTAAGTGCTCGTCTGGGATGTTCACCCCCCTGGGTATCTTCCTCTCATGCTGGACCCCTCGCAGGTGGGAGTTCTCAGTGACCCCCCAGCCGGAATAAAGGGGAGACAACAGAGCAGTGACGTCTGCTGCAGCCTTTCATACAGCATCTAAGTCCATCACTCTGCACCTGTTGATCCTCAGCCGCGTACGGGACTGCACGTACAGATATCACCCGCAGATCAGCCAGCACTCCGCGGGACCGAGTAAAGTGCCCGCACAAACACAGAACAGGTGCGCGCAACAGTTCAGTGCTTGAGCTACGGCGTCACCTGTGCGTCGAGGGGCGCGACACCAGGGGCACTTCGGAAGGCCTTTCGAACGGCCTGCTCCTTGGTGCACGACGAGAGGATGCAGAGATTGCGGATCAACCTGCCTGCGCCTCGCCTCTCGCTGCATTGCACACACCGTCAGGTCAAGCGCCAGCGCGACACACTCGCTCGCGCTCGCTGTCGCCCCGCTGCCCTTGCCTTTGCAGCCGGCCAACCTAACAATGTGCGGCATCTTTGGTGAGCGCTCGCGCAAGGCGGCAGCCCACAAGTCCTTTGAGCCCCTCAATTCGCCCACCGACCTGGTGACCCGCCTGAGTCACACCGACAGCCCCGCAACCCTGATTGCCATGCCCCCGCCCCCCGTTTGCCCGTCCCCCCAGGCTATGCCAACTATGGCGTCGGCCAGCCCATCCAGGCCATTCTCGACACTCTGTTCGATGGCCTGCAGCGCCTCGAGGTGAGCATCAGAAGTGACCCCCTTTCCTCAAACCGCCCCCTTGCCCCAAACCCCCCCTTGCTGCACAGCCCTGCTGGCTGCTCCGCGGCAGCCGCGATCGTGACGTCACTGAGCACCCCATGCGCCGCACGCGTCACCACGCCCCTCCGCAGAAGCGTGCTGCTGACCCCTGTTGTCCAGCCGTCCTTCGTTCTGGGATGCCCACCGCATATGCCGTGCATCGGCGCCCCCCTCCCCGCAGTACCGGGGCTATGACTCAGCCGGCGTCTGCGTGGACGCGCCGGCCGGTGAGCCTGGCGCCAGGTGCCCTCTGGTGATCAAGCACCAGGGCAAGATCTCAGATCTGAGGGTGCGCGCCGCCGAGGTGCTGGAGGAGAACACGCTCTTTGCCGGCGAGCTGTACTCCACGCACGTCGGCATCGGCCACACGCGCTGGGCGACGCACGGGTGAGGATCCGATGACAGGGGCCGGGGGCGCCGGTGTGCACAAGGCCACGGGGGGGCGCGGGATGGCCGGCACTGGAGGATGTGCAAATGAGTGCGTGCTGGCACAGCATCGTTCTGAGCAGGCAACCACGGCTTGAGCCCAACTGCGCTGCGTGCCACCCGACAACGCCACTCGCCGTGCGATGTTGTCGCCCGCAGGCCGCCGAACGCAACCAACAGCCACCCGCATGTGAACGGGCCGGACGGCGAGTTTGTTGTGGTGCACAACGGCATTATCACCAACCACGCCACCCTCAAGCCGTTCCTGGTGCGTGGGTCCGGCACCAGCCTGCTGCTCAGGAAAACCCGTGCTTAAAATGCTGAGGCCCTTGCCTCAGCCTCTGCGCAGGCAGATCGCTGTGCTTGACTACAACTACAGGGATGGGATGGTACGCCCCAGCCTGCCCAGCTGTACGGCCCAGGCGTGCTCACGAACAAACCCCCTGCGCGCTCTGCCGCAACGCCCCGCACCCCGCGACAGGCGAAGAACGGCGCCGTGTTCGTGAGCGACACCGACACCGAGGTGGTGCCCCACCTGTGCGAGTACCTCTGGAAGAAGCGCGGTGGCAAGGTCTCCCTCGGCCAGCTGGTGCGCAGCACAGCGCAGGACTGCCCGCAACGCCGGTGTTGACCGGGCGCACGCCTGTTTGAGGGGCCTGTTTGAGGGCATGGCGGGAGCTGCCCACACTTTTGGGAACACACCCTCGTTTTCGACACCTGCCCGCCCGTCCTCGCTCGCACCCCGCAGGCCATGGAGGTGTGCAGCCGCCTGGAAGGCGCGTACGCGCTGCTGATCAGGAGCGCCCGCTACCCCAACGAGCTTGTGGCCTGCAAGCAGGGCAGCCCCCTGGTTTACGGCCTCAAGCGCCGCGACCCCGCCGCCGCCAACGGCGCGACCAACGGCGACGCCACCGGCCGTGACCAGGGCGGTGCCGTCAGCAGCGCGTCGCGCCTGAGCGCGTCGCTGCTGGGCGCGGGCGGCGCCGGCACGGAGTTCTGGCTGGCGTCTGACAGCGCGGCGCTCCTGACGCACACGCGCGATGTGGTGGTGGGTGGCTGGCGGAGGGGAGGGGGGGGGCCAGGCTGCGTTCTGACAGGTTGCGCTGGGCGCCCGCCACGATGCAGCCCGCGGACGCCGGTGCTTGACGCCCAACCGCTTCTGAGCTAAGCACATGGTTGCCTGCATGGGCACGCGCACATAACTTGCGCGAGCGCACGAGCAAGATTGGCGCAAGGACACGCACGTACGCGTGTCCTTGCGCCAATCTTGCTCGTGCGCTCGCGCAACCCCCCTTGGCCCCTCCGCTTTCACTCATCCGTGATACCCCCCGCCCGCACCGCCCACTCACCCGTCTTCCCCCCCACAGGTCCTGGAGGACGGTGACCTGCTGCACGTGGACGCCTACGGCCGCCCCCACGTGTTCAACTCCCTGGCCATGACGTCACGCACCCTGGCCAAGGCTGACATGGCCGACCTGGAGGTGAAGAGGGAGGGCCGCAAGATCGAGGCCGAGGTGGAGTCCATCATGAAGGTGAGGGGGGGGGCATCTCTGATTGATGAGGAAGACTGATTGATGAGGAAGAGGGGTCCGCCACGGATGGGTAACGTCAGGCATTGGTGGCAGGGGTCTGGCAGACTTGAGGCTTGGCTGGGCCAGGAGGACAGAACAGCGGGGTGAAAAAATAGTCGGCTGGAAACAAGGGGCGATGGGGCAGGACGGACAACGTGATGCAAGCAGCAGAAGCATACAGCTGCGGTGTGCAGGCGACACAGCCGTACAGCTCTGTTTACAGCAGTTGCGCAATGCAAAAAACATCTTTGCAACCCGACGCCCATTGTAACTTGCGCCACACGCCACGCAATCCGACAACCTCCTCAGGGCGGTTACGACCACTACATGCAGAAGGAGATCCACGAGCAGCCCAAGACCCTGGCTGACACCATGAGGGGCCGCGTCGTTCTTGACGGCAAGCCCTTCAAGCCGGTCAAGTCCTCCGCCCCCGACGTTATCTTCTCGGGCCACTTCATTGACCCCTGCGAGTCCGCCAGCCTCTTCTCCGGCTCCAACATCGCGGCCGCCAGCGGCGCGGAGGGCGGCTTCGAGCTGCCGTCGCGCATCGGCGGCAAGAAGGCGCGCGCCAAGGAGCCGACGCCCGCCGGCGCGCTGTTCAGCGGCGCGCTGCTCGGCGCCGCCGCGGCCGCGACTGCGGCGCCCGACAAGGCGGCGGCGCCTGCTTCCGCCGGCTTCATGGAGGAGGGCATCCCCGCCGCGGGCGAGAGCGAGCCCTTCATCAAGCTGGGCGGGCTGTCGGACCACGTCGAGGGCATCCTGCGCTGCCGCCGCATCGTGTTTATTGCGTGCGGCACGAGCTACCACGCGTGCCTGGTGGCGCGCAAGACGCTGGAGGAGTTTGCGGCGATGCCCGTGGTCGTGGAGCTGGCGGGCGACTTCATGGTGAGAACTTTTTTGGCTGCCCTACTTCTTTTGCTGCCCTACTCCTTTGGCTGCCCTTCTTGCTGCCCTTGGACATGGGTTATCAGCGTCGCCTGTTGCAGCTGTACGGGGCGTCATGGCGGCTGCAGCCCCCTGGCCCCGTTGCCGCCTGGTGGCTGCGGAGACAGGGCCCCCAGCACGCAGCGAGACGTCCATTTCAGCCTGGACAGGGATGATATGGTTGCCTTGGCAGGGGCGTTGGCGTCTGGCGCACAGGAGCTGCGGGCAGGCCGGTGGAAGTGGTGGTGGCCAGATGCACCGTTTGCTCACCTGGCGCCCCACTCGCGCGCCTCGCCTTGGCCTGCTCCTGTCCTTGCAGGACCGTGAGGCGCCCGTGTTCCGCGATGACACGTGCGTGTTTGTCAGCCAGAGCGGCGAGACCGCCGACACCCTGAGGGCCCTCGAGTACGCCAAGGTGGGTTGGGCCGAGGCTGCCGGGCGCAAGGTCGATCCTGTGTGCCATTTAAACAAGCGTGAGGTGTTCGCACACCCAAGGACGTACCGCAGGCTAGTGCCGTTCACACGAGGGAGATTAGGGGAGAGCAGGCTGTGGGGGAACTCTGTGCAGGCACAGAGTACTGGGCGGGCGCAAATGTGACAACATCCGAGCAAAGGCTATGTGCCGTGTGGAGACATGGGTTGTTAGCAAAGCGTTGCGAAACCTCTTCCTCCCTTTGCACTCACTCTTTGTCGCCACGGCACTAACCATCTGCCACTTGTTCATGGCTCACGTAAATCCCATCACAGGCCAAGGGTGCGCTGTGCGTGGGCATCACCAACACTGTGGGCAGCGCCATCTCCAACGCCACGCACTGCGGTGTGCACCTGAACGCGGGCTTCGAGATTGGAGTCGCCTCAACCAAGGTAGGCAGGCACAAGGCAAGGAGGGGTGTCGATCCAAGCGTGTCGATCCAAGGGGGTGGGGACATGGCAACGAGCAAGCTGCATCCCTTGTTCATGTGTATCACGGAAGGCGTACGGGTGGCAAGCCAGGCCTGCCAACTTCGCCCATGTGACGTCCGCACCTGCACCAGGCGTGCTATGCCCTCGTCACGCTCAGCCCCGCCACACGCCTTCAATCTCTCAACCCCCACCTCAGGCCTACACTTCCCAGATCGTGGCGCTGACAATGATGGCGCTCCTGCTCGGCGCCGACTCGCGCGCCAAGATGCCCAAGCGCATCGCCGCGATGCGCGCGCTGGCACGCCTCCCCGACGACGCGCGCGAGGTGCTGGAGCTGGACGCCAGCATGCACAAGCTTGCTGAGCAGCTGAAGGATGCGCAGAGCCTCATCTTCTTTGGGCGGGGCTACAACTTCTCGACAGCTCTCGAGGCCGCGCTCAAGGTGCTTGGGCATTGGCTTGGTGTGTGCGTGTGCGCACGCGCGCGCGCATGTGTGTGCGTGTGTGTCAGGGAGGGATGTGTAGGAGTGTGAAGAGGTAGGGTTGCGCTGGATTGGCCAGATCACGGTGTTTGTAGCCCGCTCGACCAGCGGCCTGCTTAGTGTGTGCTGGTGCATGCATCCTGACTCCCGAGGTCGCGCGTGCCTCTTCACACACAACTAAGCACGTGCGTTTGCCCTGACTCTCCCCCAGGTCAAGGAGGTGGCGCTGATCCACTCCGAGGGCATCAACGCCGGCGAGATGAAGCACGGCCCCCTGGCCCTGGTGGACGAGAACCTGCCCATCGTGGTGGTGAGCACCGCACCTGGGAGCAGACGCAATTGCAATAGGCACAGAGGCATCCAAGTGAATGAAGGAGCCGTTTGCAAGTGCAGAGAGGTGGCCTGCCTGAAGCTACCGCTTGACGCTGCCCCCTTGCTGGTGGCTGCCGGCACCTGCCCCTGCATCCTGTACTCCTCCGCTGCTGACTTGCTGTCTGTGCAAGCACACCTTCCGCGTTTCCTTCTCGCCCTCATTTTCTGTTCTCATCC